ACACACACACACACACACACACACACACACACACACACACACACACACACACACACACACACACACACACACACACACACATATATATATATATATACGTATATAGTGCTCGAGAAATGCGCCACTGTAGAGAACTCTCGTAGGATGTGAACGCGGGGGAGGGGGCAACGCAGGATGTGTGGGTGGTCTTTATATGATGTAACACGGCCAACAGCGGGCAGAGCGCACGACGAGACGCCAGAGGGTATGATGCGGCAAGAGAAAGCAGAGTAAAACGGAAATAGGCACTTTGTGATAGGCTGGCTCTAGTCTGTTCGATAACGCTAACGGAGTAGCACGTTCAATTTCCCGAATATACGGAGGTGACCTAAATGTATTGCAAAGAGAAAAGGAAGCAGACTGACATAGTGGAGATAGATAGATAGATAGATAGATAGATAGATAAATAGTATCTATCTATCTATCTATCTATCTATGATAGATAGATAGATAGATAGATAGATAGATAGATAGATAGATAGATAGATAGAGCTATCTAGCTATAGATAGATAGATAGATAGATAGATAGATAGATAGATAGATAGATATCTATCTATCTATCTATCTATCTATCTAGATAGTTAGATATACAGATAAATAGACAGACAGATAGATAAATAACTAGGGAGATAGGAGGGGGAATGCGAGAGGGTGAGGAGCGGAGCTGTCGTAAGGCGCTACAGCGTGACAGTATGCGTGGCGGCATTAGTGAAGCTGGTAAGTGGTCAAATATTTATCGTTGCGCGAAAAATGTATCGCGACGGGACCGGTGTGTGTTCCCTGCGTGTGCTAGAAAGCTCGCTACGCGCGGGGGGGGGGGCTAGAAAGGGTGTGTGGCGACCTAGGTCTGCCATGCCGAACAACTCCTATAATTATATCAGGAGTAAGATAATATAGGAGGAGTATGACACTCCAAAACACGAGAAATTCAACATTTGCTTGCCTAATTTTACCGATGATATATTACGTGCAACTCGATAAAAATTACATCTAAATTAGCGTTGGACATCCACCTCACACTCGAATTTTACTTTGTTTTCCATACCTCTTCTTTTTATAGAGATATAGCTTTGAACGTCACACATGGTTCATAGCGTTTTACTATGCTGGTGGCTCAGCTTGCCTGAGCTTTCAAACAGTGGCTATCCCTGTGAGGAATGGTCTTGTCTGTTGACAAGAATGCCACCTGTTGGCAGCAGGAGTAAGATAATATAGGATCCTATATTATATCTTATATTATATCATACACACTATATATATTATTCTATATATATACACGTATATATATACACACATATATACACACTATATATATACACACATATATACACACTATATATATACACACATATACTATTTTATCCTATATTATATAATATCCTATATTATCTTACTCCTGCCGCCAACAGGTGGCATTCTTGTCAACAGATAGAACCATTCCTCACAGGGATAGCCACTGTTTGAAAGCTCAGGCAAGCTGAGCCACCAGCATAGTAAAACGCTATGAACCATGTGTGGCGTTCAAAGCTATATCTCCATAAAAAGAAGAGGTATGGAAACAAAGTAAAGTTTGAGTGTGAGGTGGATGTCCAACGCTAATTTAGATATAATTTTTATCGAGTTGCACGTAATATATTATCGGTAAAATTAGGCAAGCAAATGTTGAATTTCTCGTGTTTTGGAGTGTCATACTCCATCTATATTATCTTACTCCTGATTATATGCTTACACACGCCCCGCGTGCATGCGTGTTCGTGTGTGTACGTGCGTGTGTGAGTGCGCGCAGGCGCGGGAGTGTACGCGAGCGTACGTAATGTGCGCATATGTGCCTGGGTGCATATAAATGCAGTGTGTGCGTGCGTGTGAGTGCGCGCAGGCTCGGGAGTGTACGCGTGCGTACGTAATTTGCACATACGTGCCTGGGAGCATATAAACGCAGTGTGTGCGTGCGTGTGTATCGGTGACCCTGTTTATATGTATATGCCGCCCCCGTCTGTTTACGTGCTGTTTGCAGCAGCTCCGATTTCCACATCCGATCTAACCAATCACCAACCCCCCCCCCTTCATTACTCCATGCTCTCACTCAGTCTTACTTAGTCTCCCCACACACACCCTGCTACTGACCACTGCTGTGCCTCACGCGCTTACGTACGCTCATACACACGCTCGCACGTATTCGCTCACGCGCACTGCCGCAGGACGTGGATAGAGTAACACACCGATGTCTCTAACTGGCTTCAGTAGGGAAGCTTCGTGACGGTTGTCATCACACCGATGATCACACAGCTCGTATACATGCACACGTACACGCGGGCACACAAACCCGATGTAGTTACGCGGCCACTCTCTAAGCACCAGCTTGTTACATATTCCGTGGGTAATGGTGTCTAATTATGTCACTTAATTGTGTCACACTGTGAAAAGCGATGTGTGTGTGTGAGTGTGTGCTTGTGCGCGTGC